CTTCAAATTTGTAACAAAGTAGTAATAATTTGTTAATACAAATATTTTATTTTGGTGACATTAGGTGAGCAAGTAGAAGGACGTTGGATTATTCTTCGCAATACATTTACTAAAAAATTGCAGGAAATGAAGAATCAACCTAGTGGCTCAGGATGCAAAATGGCAAAAATGTGGATTTACTTCAAGCAAATGTCTTTCTTGACACCGCACATTGCACATCGAATGCAAGTATACAGTTATTTTTGGCAAATATCTTATCACTATGATAAAATCTCAATATTTTTATCCATATAGGTCACGCAGTTCTATGACAGCATCCCAAGAAAAAAGCAATGTATCACAAAGTATTATAAGGTCTTCGATACTCATCGAAGACTCTGCAGATAAAACAATGTCAAGTCCATTATCATTAAATAATGCATGCAGTTATGTAAATGCTGTAAATGTGCTGACATGCTCAGATGATAGTATTAGCAATCCTTCACTTGATGAATCTTGTAGTATTACATCATCAACTTCAAATCAGCAATCTCCTGTTACTTTGATAGACTCTGAGGATAATGTATTTGAGTATACAAATAAAAATAATAAAGTACAAAAGAAGACAGCTGCAGATATCGTTACTAAGACCATGAATAACGTAATCCAGAAGAAGAAAGTGCCAGCTCCAGATCAATTTGCAGTAAAAAAGCAGAAAACAACGGAAACAATGGAGAATGTATTGTGTCAATCTTCTCATGCTCTCAATGTAATGGCAACAGCATATTTGAGTCGTGCTACTGTGGAACAGCACCATCCGTATATCACTGCAATAGCTGAAGCAATGAGACGAGTACCGAATGAACAGCAATTGACTTGTTTCATGTCAATTATGCAAGTTATTTCAACTCATTCACAAGACAAATAATTATAAATTGTTCGGTAACTGAGGTATATCTTTAAACATACAAAATATAGTTTTTAGTTTTTATACATTCTGTCTTTCAATATAGTGCAAAAAAGACATAATTTTATTATAATTTGGCGCATATGCTATTCTTTTTTATTTTGTAATATGTTTTTATTTTCTCTGTTTTAATAATTTATAATATGCATTTTTTTTAGTCAATATCAATTACATTAAACTTTTGTAATTCTTGATAGACTGACATTTCTAAGACTTTTTATTTCTGTCTAAAGTATTGAAGTAAAATGATAGTTTTATTTCTAATCAAAGATTAATTATTGTGCAATAATGTTTTTTTATGAATATGCGTCTATTAGACATTACCTGAATAATATGGCTGTTAAAATTTAAAGTATAAATGATAAGTACAATAAATAATGTGATAAAAAGTATAATAATAAGTATACATATATATGTAAAAAGTATATTTATTAAAGTTTTGTTAAATACTACAATGTATACATATGCTTTGTACAATAACATGTATATGTATAATAAAATAAATACCAATAAAATTAAATTTATTTCAGTTATTTAGTAAATTAAGGAATATTTATTATTCGACCTCTATTAACAATTTCCCATTGCCAAAGAATTTGTCCTTGATCTGAGGTGAAATATGCAGCTAGTGTGTCTTGTTGCTTCATTGCAACTGTGGCAGCATGATTAGACCCCACTCGATTGAGTCGTGTTATACTTCCAGGAGTGTTTTCACCTCGCCACAAACCAGAAACAACATTGCCATTTTCATCGTAATAGTCTACATAACCAGATGGACAATATGATTTAAATCCAACAATGTGTTCTTCTTTTTTCATGATAAAATTATGTAAACAGACTACAGCAGAAATTATAATCTCTACATTATTTGGATGCAAGGCCAATGTGGTTCTCAGCACTCTCCACCTAATATAAAATATTTATCGCTGTATCGACATTGATTTTTGTATAATTCAATGATAAGGAATCACAATAATTTATTACTAATCAAGTAATGATCTCACCTGGTTACGAGAATTCCAAAAGCGTTCTCAATAACACGTCGTGCCCTTGAAAGTCTATAATTGAAAACTTTTTGTGCAATTCCTAACAAGTTCTTTCTTGCATATGGTCGTAATAGATTTAACCGCAAGGGAAAAATTTCATCACCCACGAAGTAGTGATTGACTAGCAATGTTGAGTTCGGTAATACCTTTGGTGGTGGCAGATCTAATTCATCACGTTCTAGAGCACGTCCAAATGCCGATGCACTGAGGATACTTGTGTCTGATAATGATCCTAAAATATATATTTTATATGCATATTTAAAAATTTGTTATTATTTCAAAAACTTTGTAAAATAATACTAAATGATGTATTCTCACCATAATCTCCAATGTCTACAAAAGTAAATGCATAATTGGCATCACATGTAGCTAGCAATACTATGCTATAATATCCTTTGTAGTTATAGTATGCTGAACCAGAATTGGGTGGACATTGCACACGGATGTGCTTTCCATCTAGAGCTCCAACACAATTGGGAAAATTCCATCGATCATAAAAACCTTTCTCAATATTTTTCCACTCCTTTTGAGAAGGAGGCTTCAAATATGTTCCTTGAAGACGTTGCCAAATAACATTGCATGTTTCTGTAATTATTTTATAAGATGTTGATCTGCCTATGCGCCAATATCTGGCCATTGAAGGAAAACTGTCCCCTGATGCTAGAAAGCTGTAAAAAAGCGCGAACATGCAATTTAATAGAAAATAGAGAGAATGTGTGTAAATGAACGTACATAACAGGGCGATATACATACCACACTGTAAATGCTAGACGGAATTCAGGATCCAGAGATTCTCGCATACTAGTCTTTATCAAGGCAGACCTAGTCAAATTGAGCAGTTCTTCAAATTGTTCTACTGTAAGTCTCATCATTTTAAAATTCTTCATGATTTGTGTGTTTATACTTTAAAATAAAGTAGTGTATGCTCCTAAATGAGGTCTTTCTCGCTTATCTGGTAGCATCCACCATCTTCGATTTCTACTTTTACGTTGTTTTGTTAACAGCAAATAAGAGGCTAATTGCACCCATGCAATTGCCGCAAAGAAGAACACTAAATCTTTTTTTCCATTGCATTTACGTGATTTACAGCTGTAAAACGTGCGCTTTATCCTTCTTTTGCGCCTGCGGAACTATCTGCTTTCTGATTGGTTCTTTGTGATCATTAAGGCTAAAAGCTATGAGTTTATGGCGTTTATTGTAGACATTATAACTTAACGGCTTATGCTATGGCTTACGACTTAAAGCTTAACTCTTAAATCTTACGTATTAAAATCTCATTGTAAACAACGCTTAAGAAACTAGAATTTACTAATCTGTATGATTATGCAAAATGGTAATATTGCCTCGCGGGTCCTCCACCCGGGTGCAGTTTCTGGGCCAGCGATACTGCGGAGCCATTCCTCTCGCAGGCGCCTCTCCTCCTCTTTCCTTACGTCCCGTTCGATCTCGGGATTTATCTCTTCTCTCCTCGCATGCTCCCTCAATTGAGAGAAGATGCTGGCCTGCTTGTTCGCTAGCAAGTGAATGGGCGGGATCCTGGCCAATAGAGTGGCGGCCGCATGCGATACCGTACGGTACGCAGCAATTACCCTTTGCGCTATGGTGCGCTGCGCCTTGCGCAAGGGCATCAATGCGCGCGGTGACGCCGAGAGCTTCTGGGCCCAGACTGGAGCTCCGTAGAGTATCACCGAGTGGAGAACATGTGCATACAACCTGCGTTTGTTCTCCCCGGGGCCTCGGAGGTTCGGCATAAGTCGCGCCAAAGCTCCGGCTACCCTGTCCGCCTTTTCCGCCGCATATTTGAAGTGCGGAAGGTATGTCAGCTCACTATCCAGCTTCACACCCAGATAGGTCATGGCTGGTTGGATCCTGATAGCCCCATCTCCAACCCAGATGTTGGGCGGGTCTGCCGGTGCTCTTCCCGGACGATGGAACAGGACGGCCTCCGTTTTCGGGGTGGCCACGGTGAGTCCGAGCCTACGGATACTCCGCAGCACCCTCGAGACCTGCACGCAGGCTCGTCTGCGCACCTCCAATATGCTGGGAGCGGTAGCCACTACCAGCGTGTCATCGGCATAGCACACCACCGAGCATTCCGTTTCCAGGTCTACCTCAAGGACCCTGTCGAAGGCTATGTTCCAGAGTAAAGGACCCAGAACAGACCCCTAAGGGACTCCGGCCTGGACCTCTCTTCTTCCCCCGTCTCCGTTTATCGTCGGGTACACGATTGAGCGTTGACTGAGGTACGCGTCCAGTATCCTTCGCAGATAATCCGGGATTCGCTTGTCCGCAAGGGCGTTGCGGATGGTCATCCATGGGATTGAGTTAAACGCATTTTGTACGTCCAATCCTACAGCCAGTGCGTAACCTCCTCTGGTTGTTGCGTTTTGGATAATGCGCTGGACTTCCAGTATGGCGTCGCAGGTTGACCGGCACCTACGGAAACCAAATTGGTGTGGCGACAGGTTGGAGGTCGCATGTTCCGCCATGTGTGCGTATATGCACTCCGCGATGACCCGCTCAAAAACCTTCCCTATCTCATTAAGGAGACAAATAGGGCGTGCTCTCGGCAGCTCGTTGGCTCCCTCCTGAGTTGGTTGACCGGTTTTGGGGATTAGAACCAGTCGGGCCTCCTTCCATGGAGCAGGAAAAATCCCATCCTTAAGACACGCATTAAGGCACCTAGTTAGTTCCTCGATCATCACTGGAGGGATCTTCTTCCAGTAGGTAGCTTTGATGCCGTCTATTCCCGGGGCTACGTTGGTTTTCTTGGTTCCCAGTATCGCCATACGGGTTTCATGGGGGGTAATGGCCCATGCTTCGTCCCACAGCCAATCCTGCCATCGATTGCGGAAGTTGCGCGTTTCTCCTGCTGGGAACAGCGAGTCCAGGAGTCTGTCCAGGTCCTCTCTGCTCAGGGTCTCGGTGAGACCGGTGCCAGACCTTCGCAATCGGTTCATCACCAACCTGTAGGGCAGGCCCCAGGGGTTCCCATCAATCTCGCCGATTAGATCGCGCCAGGCCTTCGATTTGGCCTTTATAATCGATACTTTGAGCCGATGTCTAGCTTCTTTATACGCAGATTCGTGCTGTCTGATCGGTCCAGAGAGGTCTTCCTCTGTCAGCGCCTGTCTTCTTTTGATTCGAGACCAACATCTCCTGGCTCGGACGCTGTTCCTGCGCAGTTCCGCTATCTCTGGGTTCCACCAATACATCACGCGATTCGGGCTCTTTTTCTGGGACCTGGGCATTGAGGAATCGCACGCTTCCTTCATCACGCTGTCTATCCAGGCAGCATGATCTTCAGCGGATGTCAGTCCTCCTGAACCTACCATATTGCTCCACACTAGGGATGCTCTGAAAATGTCGACATCCATTTTCTGCTGGTTCCAGCGCGGTGTGTCTTCCAGCCGGGTTTGCGGCCTGAGCGGCAAGAGCCTCGTTTCTTCTTTTTCCTCCTGCTAACGGAGAAAATGATCCCAAGGTGGTCGGAAAAGGTCTCAATTTCCGTTGCGACTCTCCAGTTCGTGATTCTCGTGGTTAGTTCCTCTGTGGTCCAGGTCAGGTCCACGATTGAGGAGCCTTGTGGTCTCTCACATGTGGGTGCATTTCCTACGTTTGCAATTCGCAACCCTATGTTGCGAGCCCAGTTCACGAGGGCACGGCCCCTCCAGTTCGTGATTTGGGATCCCCAGCATTCAGATCTTGCGTTAAAGTCCCCGCACAGTATTACTCTGGGGCCAGCGGCCCGGACAACTTCTTCCAGCCCATACAGGGCCCGGCGGAAAGTGACAGCGCGATCCTCTCCTTTCTCAGGGGGGATGTAGCATGAGACGATTTTAATGTCTCCGCAAGAGATTGCCACGAAGTTGTCTCCTATCCTAAATAGGCTGCATCCGTGCTGGAGGCGGTCTCGGCTCCAATAGATAGCAGCTCTGCCATCCTTGCTGCCATGCCAGAACGAGGAGTCAGGAATACAGTAGGGCTCGGACACCACCGCGATCCCCACTTCCAGCTCGGCAATGTTTTGCACTAGCAGGTCGTGTGCTTGCCTGCAATGGTTTGTGTTGATTTGGAGGACTTTAAGATCCATTGTCTACCTCCATCTCAACAGCCCCCCGTGCTGGATCCCCGCTTTCCAGGTACCCGAGCCGTGGTACCTTTTTCCTACCTTGGATCAGGGTCTTGTGCGCGTCGCATTGTCCAGAGCCCATTCGATGTCCGCTGTCTTTTTTCTGAGAGGCACAAAGTAGACAGTGCAGACTCTTGTTGCACTCCGTAGCATTGTGGCCTGTCTCACCACATCTGTAACACCTGTCGTTTCTGTCTTCGTCAGAGGGGCAGGTCGCTTTCAGGTGTCCGAACCTCCAGCATTTGTAGCATTGTACTGGACGCTGGCGTACTAATTCTACCTTGATCGTGGTCCACCCAAGCCTGAGCTTCTTCATATTGCCCACTTTGACGGCAGCCGCTAGGGGGCATTGTATCCAGGCCAGCCCCATCCCATTAGTCATGGGACGTATCTGGCCGGTACGGACTTCATCCATCTTGCATCCGCCTATGTCTGCCACAACCTTCTTGATCTCGGCGGTATTGACTGTGTCATCCAGCCCTATCATACGGATTTCTCCTTTGACAGTAGGGCGGGAGATGGATACTTCCTCTCCTTCCCTTCTTCCTTCAAAGGCTTCTAGGAGCTTTCCAGCAAGGGCATCCGCTTTTTTGGCTCCATCAGCTCCAGGAATCTCTATTACGATACCCCCATTGGCGGCCTTGCGGACTTTGAATCGCTCAATTCCCAAATCCGTCAATGAGACCTTGTTTCGGGCCTCAGTCAGGATTTCCGCGTAGGAGCACTGGGGGTTCCTGCTTTTGATGGCGACTGCAGCCGTCCTGGGTGCTCTTCTGCGTGTTTGCACACCGTTCCGACTCGTCCTCTTCTCCTTCTTCTTTTCCTGTACCTGCTTCGACTTTTCAGGTCTTGTTGGCTTCCGACTGTCTGCTTCGTTCGTCTTTTGCATGTTCTTGTTCTTTTTGCCTTTTTTAGACCTCACAACCTCGGTCCAGGCTTCTCCTGTGTTGCTTCCTTTGCCCTCGCCACGTACAACAACTATGGGTTGCTTCACCTTGATGTTTTCCGTGATGGTCGGCTTCTTCCTTTTCCCAGTTCCCCGCTCCCCTGATACTGGGGGATGAGTAGGTTGAGGGTCCTGGTTGCCAGAGCTCCTAGCGGCCAAGGGTGGTCGTATGAGCTGCTCAGGCATCAGTCGGCTTTCCAGCGCCTCGAATCGTGCGGATATCATGGTTCCCACCTGGATCATGATGTTCCGCGCGAATTCTTTCCAGGGCCTCTCCTCTCCTTCCTCCGAATTCTCTTGAAGTCTATCCTCTCCTCTCAGGTTCCTTTCTAAAAATGTGGAACGCTTCACGATTTTGCGTGTCATCCTTGCGCAGGGGCCATGCTAATCTACTCTGTATCGTTCCAATTTTAGTATATGTACTGCCGAAGCAAGTACTGGGATTTTTAATTCTGGATTTTTTTTTTTTTTTTTAATCTTATCTTTTGCTCTCAAGTGTAAAACGTTGAGAAATTTAGTAGTCGACCGAGTTTTGAAATCTGGATCTTTCGTTTCACTAACCTATTGCTTAACTTACTGCCCCACGACAGCTCCACTACTTTCCTATTTAATCTGATCATTTGTAGCGATTAAGACGACAATGAATAGAACGAGAATTTATTCCCAAAATATCGCAAAAAAAAAAAAAAAAAAAAA